CCCTCAACATACAGTGTACTTGCCAACCCTTAAGCAATAGACACGTCCAAGCCGCCTCCGCTGATGAGTCATCATCATCACTTCCACCACCGCCACAACCAACAACAAAAACAACACAATTTATATGCATTATTCTCAGGAAAATTAAATACGCGGTAGCCAGAGCAAGTGGGCTATAGGGAACATTGATAATAATGGATTTGGAAGCCTGGCCCCAGTGGAGTGCACGTTTAATCACAAGACCTCAGATTTTATCAGGTAGTGGAGCGAAAGTAGCAACCGGCAATTTTCTAAAAAGGACCATTTCGACGAAAGCTCGGGTTGAAGTCCCTAAAGTCTCCAACTACGGATGGAGAATCGGGGAGGACTACAACTGAAAACTTTTAGTCACATAAAAGAACATGATTTGTTCAGAATGTTATGGTCCAAATCGCTATGATCCTGCCAGTCAAAGTGTCCTTTAATATATCCATTTTTCCGGAATATTTTACGTCCCAGTAGCCATCGATTAGTAGAGTTCTCAACTTGGGTGTATTAGTTCCTTGTTTCCAGTGAGTGTAACTACGTAAAGGGTGCAAATTATGAGCATCTTTTCTTACAAACAGAAACAAGCAGCTTGAAAACTGACACAAAACAGCAAAGCAAAACGTGAAATGAAGTTCACACACAAACAAGACAAGCGAATGTTTTTCAAAGTGTAATGCCCTAACTGATTGGAGCCAAGCACTTCCATTTTACCAGGCTAGTTAATAAAATACTGATCTGTATTTTGTTTTTAATCCGTGTCCAATTTTGCAAACATTGCGCAACCAGCCAGAAATACGTGATGGAAAAAGTCTTTGCGAACCTTTCTGCCAATAAACAGTTTGAGATAAATTCCCAATGATATTTTCTTAGTGAAGAGCATACTTCATGAACGTTCGTGGACTAGATTTTGAAGACGAAGACCGGTGCTGTAGGGAATGAGCTGATCCATAAATTCTCGAGATTGGGTGTATTGAACTATTTTAAGATTATAGATGAATGAGGTCACCAGATTTGATCACAAACAATGTAGGATTACAATAACTATATATATAATTTATATGTATATATACACTGGATTGCAGACAGGCATGGTGCATCACCACAACAATAATAAAAGAATAAAACAACATGGAGAAGAGGGTCGAGATACAGAACAAAGTGGGAAGAAGGTGGAACTGTTGAAATAGAAAATGGTGGGTGATTGGGATAACAACATTTTTGTGTTTTTTACACACATTTTGCGTTTCTTTACGGGGCATGGGATTTTGACAAGCAGACCTTGAACCATTCGCGCCGCTGACTTCTTTTCTGGGCCATATTTCAGCTTCTTTAACCAATGACAGCCTTCATCCCTTGATGACGATTCGGATGACGATGACGATGATATCATCATCCCCCGCACCAACCGAAGTCAAGCTGATGCCAGCTTCTCTTCTAGGCCATGTCATCGTCTGACTTCTGCGGCGCTTCTTCCAGCGTTGCCCGGCACATGCCAAGTGATCACGGAAAGGTATTGGATCGGAAGGCATACGCATTACGTGGCCAAGCCATCGGAGGTGGTGTAGAGCGATTACCTCTGTTAGAGAACGATTATCCGAATCAAACGCACGACAACGAACCTCATCATTACCCATCAGGTGTTCCCACCAGACACGAGCAATGAATGCTTCAGACACATCGGTGGTCGAATACAGAAAGTCGATCAGCATCCTCCACGAGCAGGGGTCAGGTCTCGAAACCGTAAAGAGGACGCTACGAACCGCGGCGATATAAACCTTTCCCTTAAGGGACAGTTGGATGTCATGGCGGCGCCACAGGTGTAGCAAGTTGGTGACATCCATTATGGTTTTCGCTACTCATGATGTGATCTCCTACCTAACCCCACTATCAGTTGCGATCAACCTCCCTAGGTAATTCAAGCGCTCGACCACTTCCAGCTGATAACCACAGAGTGAGTGCAGGTACAGGCTCCTTCCAGTCTTGAACAATCTCTTTGCACTTGGAAGGCGCAAAGGACATGCCATATCTGCATACCTCGATCGCCAAAAAGGTTTACACCGTGTTGGACTACCTGTCATCAAGCAAGGCGATATCATCGGCATATTCTAAGTCAAAGACACTGTTACCTGGGAGGAGTTCGACTCCACCTTTTGCTAGACCGGACAAAGCATTCCGTTGAACATCCTCTATGACAAAGTTGAAAAGGAATGGGGATAGAGCGCAGCCTTGTCAAACTTCACTGGAGACGGCGAAGGGTGGCGAATGTTGGCCATAGGCCCTAACCCAAACTGAGGTATGACGATACAACTCTTTGAGAATCGACGCATACTTCGCATGTACTCCATTTCTCAACAAACAGTTCAATGTTGTGGTGCTATCGACAGAGTCGAAGGCCGCGCGGATGTCTAGGAACACAATGATGGTCCTCCAGCAGCTGTCGGAGGGTGAATATTTGAACGATGCATCCACGACTGGCGCAAAACACAGCCTGCACTTCGCGGGTCTGCTCCTCACGCGTAATGTACAATCGGCGGACAATGACGGACGCCGACAGCTTTGACGCTATTGGGATCAGGCTTGTACCCCACATGATTGGTGCAATCATTTTGCGGGCCCTTTTGGAAGATGCGGACAACAATCCATTTCCCCATGAGGAGGGGACCTGCTCAGTGATTCAAACATTAGAGAACAGAACTTGTAGTTCTATAACAAGCTTTATTCCATCATCCTTAAATAGAGCTGGGGGAAGGCCATCGGAGCTCGGCGCTTTGTGACATCCCAAAGCTTGGATCTCCTTACGGATTCCTGCATCAGAAGGTCGGTCTGTTGGGACAGCCCACAAGACGTGTGCTGAAATAGCTGTGTGAGAAGCTGATGCTGATGGCCTTCTAAAATGTACTTTGAAGTGCATTGCCTAGAGTTCAAGGCATTGCTGTTGGTTATGAATGGGCAAAGCGTCGGCTTCGCAGATCGTTTCGCTCAATTCTACGGCTTTCCAACTGGTAACTCGAATGATATGGAATGGCTTACGGGAATTACCAATTGCGGCAGCATGTTCCATCTCTGATGCGCGTTGAGTCCTCCAGATCTCGTGGTCTCTGCGTAGGCTTGCGTTAAGTTTGCGTCTCGTAGCGAGTCGTATTTGATTGTACCCTCTGCCAGTGGGAACTGAACGACGTGCTTCAAGAGGCGCAGAGACTCCGCAGAAATTCAGGGTGTCACGGCGCGACGTGTCAGATCGCAACTTACCAAACCGGCGGAATGCGCAGCATTCTTGACAAGTGACCAGTTCTGTTGTGGGGTGGTGTTTGTTCTAGCTTCTCAGCCAGCGCGTTTTGAAAGACAGTTAGACAAGCTGGTTTGGACTGATTATTACAGTCTAGCCGTTGTTATGTCGTGCGTTTGGAACGCACACGAGAGCACATAGATAGCTTGGCGCATACTAATGAGTGGTCGGATTCGAGGGAAGTGGCCCAGTAAGATCAGTTTTGAGTGCAACCCCGCCAATTTTGACATATAGTGATGTGGTTGATCTACGTCCATCGATGACCCAAGGAGCGTGGGCGCTATGTGGCTTACCGGCAATTGGAGCGTCTGAGGTTCGTACTACCGAAGAGTAGGCGGTGGTCGGAACACAAAGCCAACAGCCCTTTCCTGTTTTCCGGGCGACAGGAATCTAGTCTGAAGGGACCTTCCAGGTGCGCCTCACTCGAGTGAGATAGAGTGTTGGGGGGGGGGAGAGTAGAGGTTAGATGAAGGGAGGCTAGAAAAATAGAGGGTTTGTACGGTGTAGAATGTTTCTCGCTGGGTGAGGAAGCTTCATAGTGAAGAGTTTTAAAAGCAAGACGTTTCCTGGTTGTGAGCATAGTGGGTTATTGTACTACTCGGTCACCCAGTCCAGCGTAGGCCTTGCTCGGGGGTGCACTCTAGACTTTGTGCAACCAAGCGCTGACTGCAACACAGCGGTAATATTCCGGATGAGTTGGTGGCCAGTTTTCTTTTCATTCACCTCTTCTGGAAAATCTTGTCCAGCAATAGATTTCGACAAGGGTCAATCGTCCTATTAAGTGGCGGCCACAATCGCCACCTCACAGCGCTGTCCTCAGATATTTGTGGTGTTTTGTACCGAGTACCCTTGCCAGGAACTAAACCCACCACATCCTTGAGCTCTGCCACTGTTAGTCCACAACAACTTATTCGGCGGGCCGAAGTCAACCTTATTCACGAGATGATGGCCGCTCCTCTATCCGCGACCTGGGGACGCGCTCGGTAGCAGCTCTGCTTTGCCGGAATAACTATTCTATATAACTATGACGATCAAATTTCCACCTTACGCACTCACGTGCGAGGCAGCAAACAGACATCTGGAGAAGTGTGAATCCTGAATGCATGGCAAGAAAAGCTTTTCCCAACTAGATGCTTATTGGTTAGTCCGCAATAAATATTTGCAACAATCAGTCCCGGGTTAGGAAAACATGTATACCTCTGAACAGTGATGAGATGATACTTAAAAAGCAGCATGAACATTAGAAGTTAACGAGATATTTTCAAGATTCAACTGTAATGAGCGAATATTTTATGAGAGCATATTTAAGATTGTGTGGACACAAGCAGTTGCGGTCAGATGCTGAGTATTATGAAGATGAAGAATGGCTCACATTTCTTGTTCTATTCTGTGCAAACAAATTAAGAAAAGAGAATTCATAAAATTTAAATTATGACCAAGCACTGCACGCGGCCAAGTTACACTGTCCCTGTCCAGATAGATTTTTTTCTTGGCCCTGCTAACAGAAATCGATGAGAAAAGAACTTTGAGATCTGTTGAAAACAAAACCAAGTCAATTTTCTAACCATGTAACTGAAATTGTTGATTCCTTATCTCTATTTAACGCAAATCTATCTGAGCCACACATGTAGTCCATATGTTTTTCTACTGTTCACAGGTTTACATAAAATAAAATAATAATCTGATATTAGTAATATCCAGAAAACTGATAGAATGCACTCACTGTATTCTTCTCCTTCACCGAGTGTTAGCTCAATAGCCCATTTATTTGAACTTTCGCCCATAAAATGCAAGTTTACGATACGTTCGTCATTTAAATTGTATCTCTGCGTCTGATGTACATAATATGAAAGAATAAGTGCTACTTGTTGCCTCAAGTTCTCCGTGAATGTGGCCATGGGCTCAGATTGAAAGACAATTATGCTCTTCGTGAAACGAGACAAGTGTGTATGTACGATGCAACGTTATGCCCCTGGAAGAATGAAATCTAACAATACCAAATAAATGAGTGATATTATTGTTGCAAGGAAAGTCATAACGTAGCTTTATGATGGATCGATGAAGAAGCCAGTTATTTCATCTACATAGACGACCCTCTCTCGTGTTCTGTTGGCAGCATCCATAGTACCTGGAAACGTTAGAAATGTTGCTGCTTCGAACAAATAATTATATGAGTCAGATACGAACCATCTAACAGCCTTGAAGACTGGCTTAACCATATTTTAAATGGCGTGGGTATTCCCCTAGTTAAAGTGCTCGCACGTATCCTAACCAAACGGTACAATAACCAAAGTACTGCTTATCCATGATATATAAAACTATGACCCGAAATTTTTCTTCTTATCTTCTTTTACTTCCGAAACACGGGATCTTTGTGCGTTTTGCTCAACGATAGAATGTACAGATGTTACGGAATTGAAACTTACCGGACGTAGATGTGGTGCTTTCAGGGACCGCTTTTGTAGACCAACCCAATCGAATCCCTCAAACCACACATGCCGTTCGGCTTCCCGAATGCCTCCTTTGGAGTAACCCATACGTTCTGTTGGATTATCACTATAAGGAGTAAATAGAGAGGAAAATCACATTGTGCATGAACTACACATAATACGTAACACTTGAAGTTGTTTCTCTGGCATTTGGCTCTCTGAGTGATAACTCAAATGACCGTTGCGTTCAGGATAATTTGCATGCTTCCTTTTTCTTCAGTCTTCAACGTTACCATCGCTTTTCAAACTTCACACATTCATAGAGTAATATTGATTTAGGAATAATATAGAGATTTCTTGGTTAAAGTCTCTAGCATCTTTCTGAAACCCATTCATCGGAAACAGCACATTTTTTCTATATTCTAAAAGCACGTAGTCTGTCGATAACTTAATTTAGGTTAGTTTCGAAACGTTGCTCATACTTGCCCCTGTTGAGTTATAAGCGTTTGTGCGTCAAAGAATTATCCCTCATAAATCTTACCATTGGAATCTATCTAGTAGTGAATGTGGACATCATACAACCCAGTTGGTAGAAGAAATGAGTCTCGCCAATGTGCCGAAAACGACAATGTGAGTTAACATAACAACAGAACCACCGATTAATTCAATTTACCCGAATCAATTAGACAAATATACTTTAATATCTTACGAAAACTCGTGGTGTCGAAAGAACATGAAGGTGGTTCGATTCTTTGTCGATCCACATCTAATTCTGGTGAACGTTTTCAAAAGAGATGGGGTAAGGATAATTACAGCAAACACACTAACAGCTACCGACAGTCAAAAGTATCATGACTTACCGACACAACTTTCGGATTAAGTTTTGTGCATTTCGAGAAATTTTCACTGGGAAACCGATGGCTTCAATGCCTTTGAGGATTAGACTGTATGTTCTCATCGCATCCGGCGAATCAAATGGAGGCCTGGTGGATCCGTTTGGGCACGAGGAATGAAGGATAAAAACAAATGTGACTATCTTACGAAACGATTGAGAGTGGATACAATATGTGTTTACATAGCTGAGACGAAAAGCTTTCAGATGACATATTTGACACTTTAAAAATGACTACTTACAAACCGGTCAGTAGTTCATAAATCAGGATACCCAGTGACCAGAAGTCCACAGATTGGTCGTGTCCTTTATTCAAAATGATTTCTGGTGCCATGTATTCTGGTGTTCCACAAAATGTCCAGGTTTTCGTAGCCGATGGAAGTTTCTTTGAAAATCCAAAATCCGTCTGTAAACGCCACAAATAGCAAATAAAATTAATAAGATCATTGTGGAAGGTGAAAGTGGATCACTCCACAACAGCTATCATGGCTGATTATATGCAAATATATTGTTTTTAATGAGATGAAGTAAAAATCCCTGCTCGTCTCTTATGCGCGTCATATTGATAAAGTTATCGTTTTACATTGACTAGGCGTTTAACGTGTGACATGGTATTCTATGGTATGGTGGTATGCCATACTTTCACGGAACTCTGAATGGCTTCTCACCGTATCCGATTTATTAAAATCTTTTACCTGGGTAACTCTCGATAAATCTGTATTTTGGGTCTAATACCATATTCGTTGTGGCTATAACACCGAATACCACTTCATTTTACGATTAAAGCGGTCTCTCTTAATACGTTCCACCTCTTACAATCAACTGGATCAAATCTGGTTTCGGCCCTCAGTTGTGTCGATGGGTTTACACGGCTGATGAGGCCTAACTAAATCGAAACAACGACACAATGAGTGCTTCCCAGCTTTTCACTTCACGAATAGATATATGTGAAATTTGCTGCACAATGCCCTTAAAATTACTGTACTTGATAGTTATAGACATGTCTACATGAAACTTTCTGGTTTTATGCGGTTACGCATTTTTTCAGGCAATCATCCTTTTGTGTTAGCTCTGGAATACTTAAAAGAACTAATATTTTTGTGTGCTGAAAAAATTGTTTTGAGTTTGAAGGGAACGCAAAGAACCGGGTCAATGGCGTTTTCACGCTGAAGTCCAGTAGACTCAATCGTAGCAAATGTTTGATGTGTGCATGATGGTTCTAGGAAAACTCGACATTAGATTTTCATTTTCGCTTTGCATAAATCGTTTTTATTCGAATGTGAATACCTTGACTCTCTTTGGAGCACTTTAACTATGTGCTCTCGTATATATCTATGTCAAGTGAAGAAGATTACCACAATTCGCTCGCATTTCGAACATTAAAATCAAGAGGCGTTTAGCTGAGGCATTACAGAGAAGTCAGTATATACCACTGTCCGCGCTCTCGACAATGACCCAAATCATTCCGAAGGGTAAGCGAAACAAAAGTCGCGTCTTACTTTCGATATTCAGATGGTCAAGAGGAAAAGATATTACAAAATGATTTCATGATAACAATACAGTTTGATAGTCCTACTTTTTATCACTGTCACAAAAGAGCAGTGCCGAACGTTTGGCCCTACCAAAGTGTTGTTAGTTGAGTTAAATCATCTCATTTTATCCTTCCAAAGTTAACCGACGCGGTCGAATCATTTGCAATGCGGTTCACCTGTATATTCTAATTTTTGAATTACCAACTCAATGTTTGTTCGTTTGTCTTATGTCAACAATCGATTAGGCTGAATAAAATGTTTCCATTTTGCGCCGTGTCTTCTTGCGGAGGTGATTAACTTACAGGTATTTATCGAACTCGTGACTTTGATTTGATCTATGCTCTTCATTCCCTAGTGTTTTTAGCCTCTTTCACGAGTTCGATCAATACCTGTTTTAATCAACCCACTACGTATTTTTCTATTATTTGATTAGCGTTTTCTAATATGAAGTCCATAATACAATAGAAATGAGAAATTCGAGTTTATTTTTAGAAACAATGGATTTGTTTCTTCCGTCAGGCACTAGCAGTGTGTCGAATACCGATCGATTAGGTTAATCGTATGCTCTTTGTATCACCTCAACTCACGTCAGAAGACTGTAAATCGAACGGGGACGCAGCTCAGTTTCACACACACAAACACACACAAACCAATGGCACTATTGCGTCGCAGATCATCGTAATCGGTAAACAAAAATGGTGTTGCTTTTTCAAGTATGAAAGCTAACTGTTTGTGTGTTGTGTGAGGGTATGGTAAAAATTTGCATCCATCTTTTGAATAAACCTTCTGATCATTTCTTAGAGATAAGCAAAATCGGTTTTAATTTTATTGTGAAGAAAAGTTTCCGATTGACTGGCTGTTTTCGAAGTATTCTGTGTTTGAAATAATTCCTCTTCAAATTACATGCTTCACTGAGCTGGTAAGCGATAATTGGTTAAGTCTGTAGGTTACCTAAACTTGCCACTTTTGAAGAATAACAGAGTTTTGGTTTACCATATGGTGTACGATACGAGCTACTTCCGCATTAACATGCTGAGGAATCTTCATAGATTCCTCACGCAGAAGTGCGTGGGATGCGCCGTACCCTGCATCTCAAAGAGAGAGACAGACGTAGAGAGAGTGGAAAATATAGGAAGGATGCCAACATTTTCACTGTTGGTTTCCATTTTAGTCGCATTGGTGGCATGTTGAACTGAACGGGCAAACTTCTCTTGCAAGCAGGGCTGAACTGAATTAAAGTAAAACTATTAATTTGGAAGAAGTCCCTTAATAAGAAAACAACGGAATCCAACCTGCACGATATTGTTGAAGATGGACTGCGCAAATGTAAAACAAACTGTGTATTCAGTGTTTATTAGATCGTATATGATACGGATTGTTACTGACAGTTGCATTCTAACTCCTACGCCTCTCCCACTTCTACTCCACTTCAACCCAGTAAACCTATTTGGTTCTCATTTCAAGTAAAGACTTTCTTATTTTATTTATCGTGTTTTATGACGATTACTGTTGGAATCTAGTGCTCACAATTCAATCGCCACCCGGAATTTATCATTTAGACCAATAGTAAATAAAGTATCCAGGAAACATACCTAAAATCAACGAACATCGCACTCTCCAGTTGCAGAATAAATCAATGGAGTCTTAAATTTGTAATTTATTTCAGTCCTAAACTGATGCTTTTTGGTTGGTAAGCGTACTAAATATATCAATATCTTTTAGCATCAATAATTCACAAATAGAAGCCCATAGAGGTGAACATATTGAATTTAAAATGGGAATTAGTTGCCTGCATACCAAATGAAGTGTGAACGGAAAGCTAGGGATCACTGGACAGCTGTTTAGACCTGGCTGAGCAGGGTTTGTGGCCCGCAAGAAGCTCACTGCTTAGCTACCAGTGACCGAGTGGGTAGCATGCTTGCGTTCTGCCCATGATGTCCGGGTTCGATTCCCAGTTGGGTCCATGGATTTGCACTGCTGATGAGACCTAACTAGGTAGAAATAGCTGTCTATTGCTCCCTAGCTTTCAGTTCACGTTTTAGTTGTTATTTTAAATTTTATCATATCCTCTATTACTCACACAAAACATTGAATTTACGTTCAAATTATCGACATTTCGCGCATGACTTCAGTTATTACGAAGAGACAAGGAAATCATCAACTCAACTATTTATCCTTTTTGCCTCTGAAGTTAAAATTGTGATTTCATTTTTAACCCAAAATCTCTTACCCTTTCTCAATAATTGCCTATATGAACGTTCCCCCAAAGTGCATTCATTCCAATAAATTCAATCAAATACATTCCGAAATAAACGTGAACAGGGAACGCAACATTTTTAAGCAACTACGATTTAACTCCGGAATCGTTTTGCTGTATATTAGCTTAATACAGGATACAAAATAGTTTACACATCACGCGTGTTGAAAATGGAACATGATATCAATTCGCTCCTCCGCTTACGTGGCTATTAGGGCAATGCTAGACAGATATAGACCATATTTTCCTGACGGAGCATTTACACCCTTTGGGTTTGGTCTCAAATAATTGTTCTCCTGTATGAAGTACCTATCAGCATGGACATTTCATATTTTGGCAAAACATCCAGTCATTTTCAATCATCGGAGCAATCTCGGCTTCACACGATCAGAAAGAAATCCTGAAGGAAACATCCTGTGCACAAGTTGGTCAAACCCGGAACCAATGAGAACAAAACAAACGAATACAAGAGATGGAGGAAATGTTTACAGTGAACAATGTCCTACATTAAAGTTAAAATGAGAAACTACCACACCAGTTTGCAATATCCAGTTGTGTCCAGAATGAGATTTTCCGGTTTGAGATCCCGAAATATGATACTTCGTTTGTGCAAATAGTCCAGCGCCTCGATCACACAAGCTACATAGAACTGTGTTGTGTTCTCCGTGAAAAAGTATCTGTCGGGTTGAAACAGATGTCGTATAGAAATGTTACTTTCCTATAGCCCGGGAATGTAACTGTCATCATTAAGTTACACGGAAACTAAAACGTTCACTAAGGATTCACAGCTGATTCGAAAATAAATTCAAAGGACTAGGTAGTAGCACTCAATAAATGCTCTTCATTTTGACGTTAAGCGATACAAAGCCTAGGAATTGAATGCATTGTTCTGTTTAGGTTGTATTGTACCTAAACAGACTCTAAAATCAAGTTGTAATCAGTCTTCTTCACTCGTTTTATGATTGAAGAATCTCGTTGTACCTTTTCGTTTTAAATACTCATGAGTAGCTAAGTTGCATACGCAAAATCATTAATTTCATTACCATACGTGGGAGTTTCTGTGACGAGTTAATTGATCAACTTACTGATCACGCAAAAGCGTCCACAACTCGCCACCCAGACATGGCTCCAGCAACATGTACACATATTTATTGTCCTTGTAGGTCTTCCATAGTCTGACGGGGAGAGATAAAGAGAAAAAAAAAGTTAATCAGATTGATAAAACCTATGGTAAATCTTGATCGGTTCCGATTGCATGCGGTCCTACAGTAGCTTTCCAAATTCGTCTGTTTTATTGTACACTCGTGTGATGAACAACAGCGGGGGTAAGCCATATAGTCACGAGAAACTGCTGGGCAATCATGGAAACCGGCATCCTAAGCTTCGGGCTTGGAAGGGGGCTTGCCACGAAGAACCTATATGTTGGGTGTGATATTGGGTGAGACGACATCGACGGAAAGTTCTAAGGCAATGAATTGATGGAATAACAAATTGGAAATATTTTATACTCACGGATGCGCTAACTATTTTATGTAGCAACTGGATTGCTTGTTGGCGGTCGGTGGTCAATGTAATTGTAACCATCACGCAGAGATTTCCGCATTATGTTAAAAATTCGGAGCTGAAGGATGCTTAAGTTTGCCGAAACGGATGTCCTTAGCCGTGTAAAGCCTGACCTATGCGTGATGCAGTTGTTATTACCATGGTAATTCAACTCTCTTTCCCCCACAGTCAATCGTTTCCATGACGTTATTGTTTCTATGCTAGCGTTCCCTTTTAGTGAATCTTTGTAAACATTATCCCGTCCTCGTCGTTCCACATATCTAAATGACTAAATATCCCAATTCTTTCCGCCTGAACCCATGTAATTATGTAAATATCTTGCAACCCTCTCATAGGTCTAAGGCATTTTGTGTCATGCGTACGAAAATTCTCACGGTGATCTTATATCGTTTAACAGTGCACCGGTAACGGCGCATTCCGTCAGCAGACAGCCCATTTTAGCCGCTTCCCACTCTGGAACATTCACTATTCTATAGGGTTCTAGCCACGTGACTGTACCATACGAGGCGCGTTCTTGGAGAATGCAACAATTGGGAGCTCCTAGTCCGGTCCTCTCACAATCACGTCATAATCCATTCCCAAAACATACTCATTAACTGATAACGTATGCGTGGTTTCACTAATACAGTAAATACCGGCTGATGCACTGTACTTGTCATTGTTGAATATTGGTAGTTAATCTGTGATACATTATTGTTCACTTACGAAATTTGCGACTGTACCATGACAAGTTGCGGAGTAAGTTGCATTTCACAGTTAACATGTGCAACATACTCGTTCTTGTTATCATCAAACCGAACCAAAAATTGTTTACGTACGAGCTGTGAATTTGCTTTAACATCGTTTCACCCTCTTCTGATTTATCATCCAAATCATTTACGCCACACAGCAGAAAATTATGTCTTATCACGTGTAAAAAGGAACTTAAATAGGAAATATTGGTTTGATTTACTTATTGCAGGGACCATGGTGATTGCGGACCACCTTGTGGAGGCTCGCCCGTGCACTCTGGTAGGTTGATGCCTCCTGTGAAAATCCCTAACCAGGGATCGCTTGGGACCGTGCATTTTGCTGGTTGGAAGGTTTGGAGGTGAATCGGTGAAGTTCATCGATCCAGTGACTCGGAGATCCTGAGTTCTAATCCTGCTACCACAACCTATCATTGTCTACGCATATCCTCAAGCAAAATTTGCTTGTCCGAATCCTTCTGCCTAGACGTTTCATGTAATGATTTATATTCAATAAATAAAAGGAAGTGACAAGATTTTCCTTATGTTTATCTGTGATATTTTGTTTGAAGAATGTGTGCTTCTCACCTCACAATAAAATCGGATTCGATTTCATACATTATATTCCGTTCGTTCAGTACATGCTCTTGTTGTCGCGTTTGAACAATGTGGTGCTTCTTCATCCTTTTCAACGCAAAAGAACGTGTGTCATCCTTTTTTATTTTAACCTGCAAAAAGGGAACAAAAACGGGGTGTGAGTGTACACAGAGAACTACTTTGAACGGAGTACTCTACAGGTCAATTCGCAGACGCGAAAGCTAAAAGTTGATCAAATAATCAGAACAAGAAACATATGATCATATGTTTACCAGAGGAAAGCTGAAGTTTCATACTGATGCATTTGACTCCCGATCATCATCGATATAAAAGTATATTTTGAAGCATTTAGTCATACGTTGAGCCTCAGAGTTTGGCTTTCATCATTTGTCTGTGCTATCTATATTTTGGTTTGTCAGTTGATCGATCTATTGGTTACAACAACCTAATTCCAAATTAAAACGAACGAGGTGAGATAAAACGGAGAGATGTTGATTCTGGTTTAGGAAGGTGAGTTTTAGGTAGAAATCTCACCAAAAATAATCTTAAAACGTTGTGATCGATCGACAGGTCAAAAAGAATTGACCGCTTCTATCTGTCTAACTACCTACTACCTGTCTGTCAAGGAGTTATGCCAGGTCCTCGCAAATGTGTTGAACATTTTTATCTGGAATAAAACTGGCGGTAAATCAACGCATTTATCTAAATTGCTCAACGAGAGAGAGAAAAGTGAAGAAAATATGTACCCAATGTTTGCGGTGACCAAGCCCACTTGTATTCAATATCATGCATTACCTCTTTCAACATCTGTGGATATGTTTGAAGTGTTTTGCTTCACTTTGATCTGAAAAATGTTTTTTCGAATTTTAATGTAGCAAGCTTGGATTAGCCCAATCGAATGTTAAGAGGTACCAGACACTCTTGATGTTCTTGGGTGTGGGGTTTACTCATTGGGAGATCGTTAATTCCCCACAATTTCATGCATTTACATGCGATAGAAATGTTTGTGATAACCGACGAAGAGCACTGAACAGCTGTTTCGTTCTGTTTGACACTCGTAAGCAGTGCGCACGTTTTGTGTCCCTTTCAGGACTCAGATTTACAACAAACTTTATATCACCAGTCAGGCTCAGCATGCGCGGATGGCAGAGGCATATGAAGAAAATGAGTAAGTTCTGAACTTCGAATGCTACAAAGCGAACATTATTATTCGCAACTACTTCCTTCTCTCCTAACAGAACAGATCATTCTAAACTAGACTGTGATTGCTCGGCATTCCCGCTTGAGTGTTGCGACGTGACACATCTGTGGCACTCCACAGGTAGCGATGTTTCATGAAGAAATACAAATTTAACATGTAGGTGTGCATCCATCGACGGAATCGGAATCCACGGATCACTTGATTGAGTGAACAAACAACAGTTCAATGTTTACGATGGTGATTTGGTGAGAACGCACGTGGAAAATATTTNACGCACGTGGAAAATATTTGTTCTATTATCCGTCCTTGCTGCTATTAAAATAAACGATAATTCTTCGAATCAGTCGGTTATTTTATTCGCACCGGAACGGCTGACACTCACTGCTCGCTATGAGGTCAGACTTCGGTTAACTAAAATTATCCTATTTCATCGTGGTCTTAAGTTTCTTTAAGGTAATCGTTCGATTCGATGGTAAGCCGGATACTATTGGATTATTGTCTATTCAGAACTCTTACTTGATTCCCTATTTACGCAATTACAGATGAGATTAGAATTGGACCAGTTTCCATCCACCTCAGAATGAATACAGTTGAGTTAGACAGATACCTTCCCTTGAAAGTAAGGGAGCATTGGACCATATATGACGACTACAGAAGTCGACGTAAACCCATAGATCAATTGACGTGGCGTGAGATGTTGGCACATGTGTGCGTTCGTGGTTATGCACATGTACAATCAAATGGGTTCAAATATTGACTGACTATATGGAACCCCAGTGAGTGGTAATAGTGCATGGTTATACGACAGAGAGTGTTTCTCTCTCTAGAAAGAGAACCATAGCAACGTTTTGTACACCGTTTGGGCAGAATGGCTGATTTGATCTTGACCCTATCTTTGTCAAATGGAAAACAAGCACAATGCTTGTTTCAAACAATATGAGGTTTTTTGATGTGGATTAGAAAAGATTATTTAAACGCTAGAATCTTGGTGAAACTTAACGTCGTCCAAGACTTATCAGACAGATCAGACAGTCATCCCAGTGAATCCGCTTCTCAAATGAGCATACAATGCTCAGTAACATTCACATACAAGTTTCAAAGCGAACAGTTGTTCTAGAATGGTTCATGAACTTTCCTATACATATCATATAAGGGTTTTGTTAGTGGAGACACAATTGCACACTCGGTCTCCAGGTTATTCGTGATTGGGCGAGCGGAGGGGTGAGCGCTACATAACATGACTGTATGTCTGTTTAAATGAGATTACCTGTATTTGGAGTGTCGGTGATGGTGATGGCAGTTGTGACTGATTCGGGTCAACGTAAATGTATCAGGCTTTGTGGTGCGAATCTTTCACGTGTATAAACCTGTCGCCTTAGTAGTGGCTAGTATGCGGAAGCACACTTCATCAGAGATGTTTGGGGGTACATGATAGATAACCCGGTATTATTTGACTACCACTACTATCCACTAAATGACCACAAATGACGCTTCTGAAATCCCCGTTTCCTCCTTGCCCTAACCAATGCTATTTGATATTTCACTCGATATCTCTCAGTCATCCTAGGGGTTCCCTTCACACAACCTTCCTGCGAACCTGAATTGGGGTGTTGGAATTTTTTACTTTTTAAAACCTGTCAACTATCATTAATCAACGATCTGCCCTTTAAACGGGGAATATCAGCTAAAATATTTTTGGGTGTCATTCTGAACTGTTTTCCCAATTGGTCTGTGTAAACTGATACTGTCGATAATGTCCTCTGCCCTTAAGCTTGATCAAACAGATGTTTCATGCATACACTCTAAAATTTCGGTTCCGTATTTCACTCAGTGATATTTAGTGGTTAATGACAATAGGATATATATCTGAATTATGTCCATACAAACGATACAATTATTCATGTTCTGTGGTTGACCCAAGTTTCCCTAAACCCATCAGACTGCTCATCAAAACATCGAACCTTTTGGCAGAAGTTTGTCGCGTCCCCCTTAATGCTGTAAATTCAGCCATACCAAAGAGCCTTTCTACTTCCTTTATTATTTCACCCTAGACGAGTGCCTTTCTCTACGTCAGATTGTAATTGTGTGATGCATTCATTACTGAAAATTGATTATAGTTGGATAATTAACTTAATTGCCTCCTTGATTACTATTTTCCGTGGGCACATAGTCAATACGTACTTACCTCATAGTGTAATAAACTCTGTTTTTCTGACTAAATTTATTTGTATTTATTGTAGACCACTGCAGGTACAACAGCAGTTAACCGAAGACAGCTTACGTTTGCACTTCACACACCAGATCCGCGTTTAGTAGAAAACTGTTGCATAAGATAAACATTCGTACAGATGTGCAACTGTATGATTCCTATTATTCTTGAGAATCTGGGGTACATAGGTTTTGCGGGCATCTGCCGGATGCGAAGTAATGTCCCAAAGTATTGGCATATCAGGTGTCCTCCACACCCAAAGTACCGTTCTAAATAGAGAGGACTGTTTTTCGCAATGAGAGGATGAGGGAGAGCGAAGTTTAATGACAGTATAGTTTCATGTTGCTTCCGAAATACCCTAAGTAATCTTTTCCGGGTCAATAGTTTTCCCTCCGAAACGAGAACGGTTAGTCATCTACGTTCAAACTGGGAATAACCTAAACAGATCAAATGATGTCCGGTTTGATACATTCATAGCATATTTCGAATCCCGCAGGTTACGTAATTCCGTTGGTTCTACCCCCGGAAAAGTGTAATCTAATCCGGAAACATTGCCTCTTGCTTATAATCAAGTCACCCCGGTGACGGTTCTATTCTACGCGGTGAGTTTAAGTAAAAATTTACTTGCATCTTTGTTTTTCAAACAACCGTACCTCGCCGAGCAGCGTTTGTCATTGTTATCTAATTGGAAAGGCGAGTAAACTTGCAAACTATGCATGATATTTCACGTTAATGTTGCAAAGCATCAGTTGAGAGACAAAACACGCGTGAACTGGATTTTTCACTGATCTATCAGTGTACACTCTGACAAACATATCACGTTCTCAGGTTCACTGGGGTCATATACTTTAGGCTTTACGTGGAAGTGTGTTAAATGTTGTAGCCTACGGCCAGTGGTAATAGATGGTCAGATGTGGATATGCACGATTTCATTTATTTATAGGTTTTTTATTCACTTTATGCTTGCGGAATAGGTGAGCTATAAAACCAATATCCCCTGGTTCTATGCCCGCATGTGGAAGGTTTTTATAACCAAGTAACCGGCTAGTGAGTGTAGTTCATGTGGGCACTGAATGGATATTAACTAAGGTCTGCAAGCGAGATATGCAAGCTAACTCGTCAAACTTGGATAATGATTACTACCACTCAAAATGAATGTGTTTAACTCTAGAAACACAGCTTTCTTCTGAAGGAGGATAGAGTTCCATTTCATGGAGATGAGTGGCAGAGTTTCAACTATTTAGAAGCCCCAGAGTATTTTAAGAAGGGACATATATATATATATATATATAATTTTTGGATTCTGTTTTTATTGTGAATGGACAGGAGGAGAGTAAATACTGAACTTTTTACAATTTGTCACTAAAAGAGGCATACTTACATTATGTTTTATCCCCCGGGAATCAAATGAGATAAATAAGCAAATTTCGTGCTTGTCTCAACCAACATAAATGGATAACTGACTCAACTATTTGAAGTAATCTGCTATCCTGATAAACAGATATGAGATTATGTATTCCCAAAGCATTTTGCTGGACACCACTGATTTGCACACATTATCACCCACAGAAACCATTTTACCTCGTGATCATCGATAAAGTTAATCTTTTGAGGTGTTCATATCATCCATGCAGTTTTGGCTTTGCAATTAACTATATTCACATATCTGCTGAGAATGAACGAATAAATTAGGCTTCAAAAATGTGACTATTGGTTTATAAAAATCATGGGATGCGCATATGCCCGCTAATTTAGTTCAGCAGATAAAGAAATATAATAAAATGTTAGGAGAAGGTGGCCCGTGTCTTTTTTCGGTCGCACAATATGTTCAGTAATGAGAAACATCTTTGTGGTAAAAAAAGAACCTGCTAGGTTTCCCAGTCTCTTTCTCACAGTTATCAGTTATGAAGAGCCTCAAAGAAAAAAGAGCCTTTGGTCCTGATGTCCTATCACTTGAGCTGCAGAATCGTCGCGCGGAATGATGTATCCTTTCCATTCCCTAAATCCCCTAACACTGATTCTTATCGGGACTGTCTGCCTATACCTTTCATCACGGTATGTATTAACTGAACATCTAATCATTCCACGTTCTCAA